ATTCCGACGAACTGATAACCTCCTCCTTTTTTGGAGGTCGGTTAAAAAGAGAGTTTTTCTTCATTTTGTATTCTCTTTTTAAGTTACATTTTCTTCGAATCTTTTGATTTTATTACTTTAAAAGACAAAACATATATTTTTTTAATTACATTTGATTTTTAGAAACTTTTTTAGATATTCATTTTTTTTCGTAAATATTATTTTTTTAAATAACTTTATATTAATTTTAGATAACATTGTTTTAAAAAGAATATTCTTTTTTTCTTTCAATTAAAAAAAATATATTTTTTTGCTTAATGTTATATTTATTCCGTTAAATTTTCTTCGAATTTTTAGATTTTATTATTTTAAAAAGGAAAATATACGTATATACATATTGCTTTTCATTTCATTTGATTTTTAGAAACTTATTTTATGTATTTATTTTTTTCTGAAGTATTTTTTTAATTAAATCTTTTTTTAATTTTAAGATAACATTCCTTAAAAAAGAAAAACCTGTTTGGTTACTTTCCCTTTCTAGTTAACGTTTCTTCGAATCATTAAATTTTGTTGTTTTAGATTTTTAGAAACTTGTTTTGAATTCTCAGATTAAATTTTATTTTCCCTCTTAGATTTTATAGCTTTAGAAAGAGAAATACATAACTTCATTTAATTTTCAGTAGCTTATTTTATGTATTTTTCTATTTTTTATAAATTTTTTTTTTGTTTAATTTTGCTTTTGATTTCATATTATTATTTTGAAAAGAAAACAATATTTTTTTATTCTATTTGATAAAAAAATAAATACAAATTTTTATTTGTTTGTTACTTTTAATTTAAGTTTATTTTTTATTTAATTTTCTTTCAATTTTAAGATCTTATTGTTTAAAAAAATTATATTTATTTATTTTTTCTAATTTATTAAGTTTTTAGAAACTGGTTTTATATATTTTTTCCCTTCTTAATTAAAATTAATTAAAAATTTTTCTGTTTACATTTTAATTTTCTCTTAATTCTTAGATTTTATTGTTTTCAGAAAGATGCTTTTTCAATTTAATCAAACTTTTAGAAACCTTGCTTATTTTTTCTTTTACTGCTTTTCCTTTTATATTTTTTTCCTTTTTAAATTATATTTAATTTAAATTTTTTTATCGTTAAAAAATTTAATTTAATTTAGTTATCAAAAAATATTGCTGAAGACAAACAGATCTGAGACCTCCTCGTTAGCAGATCTTTCAATTAACCTTTTGGAAGACACAAAAGGGCTTTCATAATTGCCATGTTTATTTACTCACATTAGGGTGGTACGTAAGGGTGATAAGAACTGAAATTTGGAGGGTAAGTACTAGAATGGAGTACTTGAGGTAAATGAACTTGAAAACAAACAAAAAAATTGTATCCTCGAGACAAAAGCATCGATATCTTCTACTTTAAGAACCGACTGTAAATGCCGAAGATATGATGAAAATTTGCAAAAGGCGTAGGGGGTAGCAAAAAAAAAAACAAAATAGAAATAGAAATCGCCTTCGCCTTAATGATTTTTGGTGTAAGTACTAGAACGGGGTAATTGAGGTCAATGAACCTTGGAACAAAAAAATATGTATCATACTTTAAGAACCGACTGTAAATGCCGAAGATATAACGAAAAACAAACGAACTTTTTTTTTGCTAAATTGCCGTGCAAAATTACATTAGAGTCAGGGGATTATAGCGAAATATTTTTTTTCCGGTACGGTCTAATGTGCATATATTTGTATTGTATGTATGTTTGCCATAACAGATTGTGAAATCGAGTTTTTGCAATTGGCGCTTTTCATTTCTGAGACCCATCGAACTTACCTTTGCTTTGCAAAATTTTCCACATTAACGAAGCGACGTCCATTTGTTGCTGCTGTTGCTGTTGCTGTTGGGGTCTTCGCATGCACATGTGGTTGTTGTTGTTGCTGCTGGCTGCCTCTACTAGCTGTCAGTGCAGCAGGCGTGTGTGTATCATTATCTGTGTTCATATAAATCGTATAGGTGCCATCCAAATTGTTATTCACTTTGTTGTTGTTGTTAGGCAGCGCTGTATTACTGTTATGCTCCTTTGGAGAATTTTCGGCGGAACGGAAATTGTCTATCCATGCAAAAACAAAAAACATTAAATGGTTAGTTGCTTTCATTTGCATGTGGAAATTACAATTAAACAATCAATCAAACCTGGAGCAAAGGCGCCACCACCAAAGCCACGCGAACGCTGCATGGCGCGTGTTCCGATCACAACTGGTTGCACCAACGATGATTGCTGTGATTGCCTTTGTTGCTGTTGCTGTTGAGCTCTTCTACGTTGTTGTTGTTGGTGTTGCTGCTGCTGCTGTTGTGTGGGGGGCAGACCATAGTTAATTTTCGGATACGTTGAACTCATATTCATTTGTTGTTGTTGTAGCTGCGCATAGGCGCCCATGCCTGCTTGATGATTGTTGTAGGTGGTGGTTGGCTTATGAACGCGCATATAGTTGCTATTCATTTCCATACGATCCATGGCTGGGAAACTGCACACATACAAATACATATACATACATACATATGTAAATGCATTTATAAAGTAGGCGTGGTCGGTTGTATGCGGGAAGTGAGAAGTATGTAAATAAGTTTAAGCGAGCTCGTTTGTGAAAGTTCACATTCGTGCAAATTTAATGCAAATTACCGTGAATTCACCGCTTGACGTGTAAAGCGGCCGCTAATTCCCGCGCAGTTGCTGTCATTGGGCGCTGCTGCGCCACCAACACCGCTACCCTTGGACGCAGACTTGCCGCCATCGGCGCCGCCGCCGCCGCAGCCACCACCCGCGCCACCCCCGCCTCCACTACCACCACCGCCACTGCTGCTTGTGTAGGTGCTATCAGAGCTCCTGCCTTCCATGGAGGAGTCCGAGCAGGATTTAGCAACGAGTCGTCGGCTCAAGTAGTTGCCATAGTCGGCTGTGTGGGGGTTGGAAAAGGTAAGAAAATGTTATTATCAAACTTNAAACTTTTTTGTGTGTGTTACTTGTTAGGTGTAAGCAAATGCAAAAAAAAAAATTGCCATACAAAAAAGAGAAACACTAAACAATTGCATAGTTATGAATGGCGGCTGACATTCACGGGCATAGTTATGTGCCTACCTACAGGCATAAATATTTATGTATGCGCGCGTTGTTAGGTCAACGTCATAAACAAACAACCCCAAAAGGGGTTAGGAAAACTAGAAGGCAATACATTAAAGTGTCGTAAATAAAGGTTGTCGATTGGTAATGAAAAGCAAAATATCCTTAAACTACTTACTGATAATAAGCATATGTAAGTAAATAAATAAACATATTGATAACAATGAAAAAAAAAAAAATAATATTTTTTGAAGGTTGTTCGGGAAAATTCTTTCAGCTATTCTATTTTTGTAATGCAAATGTATGCGCTTATTGATATTTTGGTGACTTTTGACGATTTTCTCAACATTTACTTACCATTCGTTGACTTCTTTGTTGTCGCATGCCCATAGTA